ATAATGTGTATTTGATATGTGTATAAATTATTACTAGGCCTATTGTCATATCGTTGTTATTATTGTTATTAGTTATATTATTCCTTTTTATATAGTTATTTATTAATATTATTTTTATTAATCCAGTTATAATTATTATGTGAAGGAAAAATAAAAAACAAAGACAATGATTTAAAACACTTTTATTTTTGCATACTGGTAGTTTGGCTTTACATTTAAATTTCTTTTGGTAATTATTTCTTAGATACACAGTAAATTGGGGCCAAGTGTGTTATATGGAGGCCGCAAACTATATCAAATTCCATTGAGACGTTGCAAATACATTAAATTTCTGTTTCTTGATTCATAACCTGGGATCCAGCAGCTGGATCATTTATAATTTTCTCATATGTGTTGCACTGAACATTAATTAGGATGAAAGATACAGCCTGGTAATTATTTATTTATATTGTATTGTATTGTACTACTGTAATTACTTGATAATTTTGTGTTTCAGATTGTGGGTTGTTTGGTGATGTCAATACTTGCAGCTGTAACTGCTGGTGTCCATATCATTATTGGCAGTATTTCAACAGCTGTTGGTCGTTATAATTATGATTATTATTATCATGATTATCAATATTATTATGATCATGTAAGTTGAAAGTGTATGTAACAATATCTACTTTTTTGGGGGGGATAAATGCAATATTTTTATTTTTGCTATGGTGAAGAAGAGAAAGAGGTAACACAGGAAATTGTATTATAGATTAGGTGATAGTAAGCAAGGTATGAGAGAAAAAGATAGAAAAGTTCTACAAAAAAAAAGCATGATGTTTTTTTTTTCCCTCCACTCTCCTATAGTGATGATTTTGATTAAAAATTGAATGTACATAAATGAATTTTTTAGCCAGTTAGCACACCCGTCACCATGAAAAAAAACCCAATTATTTTCTTGCACCCACTCCGCCTTGAAATATACTAAATTGATCATCTATATTCTCTTAATTGGTTATACTGTATATAAATTAGCATGTATCAATCTCATTCCTGTTTATATTCAACAATACAATTTTATTTTCATTTTTGTTTTATATTGTTAACAACAATATAAACCTAGGCATCAAGGTGACAGAAGTGACATTGACTTTGTAAACACATAAACTAGTAGTAAAATGACTTGTAAAGTTGTAGAAAGCCTTTTGTGCTTGTGCAGTAGGAGTTGTCTGGTGTAATATCTTGCGTTTCATGAATGACTTCCGATTTCTGGTGATGAAGTTGCAGCGGCCGTTACTCGCGACACGATAGAGACCAAAACACATGATGTAGAAGCCTATGTTTGAGCATTTCCAGTATTTATTACCGTGTTTTCCAGAGTAGGAAATAAGTCGATTTTTTAAAAGAAAGTTTAGATCGCGAAATTTAGGTGGTCGACATATACTCCAAGTGAATGTTTATGAACAATCTGAGCCTGAGAAAACGGCGACAATTATCGGAGTTTGATGTCTGGTCCAAATGGAGTACTGCTACTGTACAGTACTACTACCACCTCCGGTCTGGCCTAGGGGCTAGGCTACTCCTAGTCTCAAATAGCATTCACAGAATGATATATTAAAATACTAACAAATACAGTAAATGAAATATTTCATTCATAATTTAAAGACAACAATCGCTGATTCCTCCAGCTATCACTCGATGTTTATTTTCTTCCAACGGCTGGAGACTGATGAAGGTTGTTATTCATGAGTACGAAAGAATGGGACACGTACAACAGGATTTTGATTAAGTAATTTTAGTTGTCTCACAAAATCTTGAAATAAATCAAACCTTTGAATGTAATATTTTTGTCATTAAAAAGTATGCTTTAAGAGGGAAGCAAGCAAACATTAGACTTTATAGAGGTACAGCTAGTCCTAGTGCGCAATCGGCAGACTAGACCAGCCTACAGTATGTCATTTCTATACTTATGTGGCATTAGCGCAAATTCTCGTACCGAAGACACTCAGTAGGCCTATTTCACCCAGAAAGGTTAGTGATGCTTGACACTGCACGATACTCTCCATTAAACCATGTGTTTATTGCATAGAGGAAGAAAAAGGTTGTTGTAAACAAATACAGTGGCATGATGGTTAGCAATTGTACAACATAGCCAAGAGGTAAATCCTGGAGGATAGCTTATCATTTTCCCTTCAAATTAAAAACGGAAATGGTGCTTGTTGATAATATTCCGTGAACTTAAATTGCTGGCTGTGTAAACCACGTTTTCTGTCCTTTTCATCAGACTTTGTTATTCACCTGTATATACGATCTAGGCCTAGCTAGGTAGGCCTCGTTTTCGTTAATCTTAATAGAGATCGTTCAACCTCTTGTACAACATGTTTTTATAATTTGGCCAACATGTAATATTGATTTACTTTGACATTTAAACGTAGATGTGTATTGATAATGTCAATGTACCCGCAAGAGTAGATCTTTTTATTTGGAGAAATGATAAAATAGATACATCCTTGTCCCTTTTTCACACCGTTCAATCGTGAAATACGATAATTACAATTTTTTTTAAAACACATATAAGCTATTTGTAGTCACATACAATATAGCCCCTACCTACCTAATTTGTTTTTTTAGATCCACACATGTACAATATTACACATTATAATTTATATTATACCTACAATATAAACTACAGCCCTTGCGCAGGACTAGTAATTTCGCATAGATGCTTTGGGGAAAATCATTTTGTTGAATAAGAAAACAAAATTTTTTTTGCCCAAAACGTTTGCTATATAAACAAGGTATAAAAAGATCTTGACTAAAAAGTGAAAAAAAGAGGAAGGTATGAAGGAAAAATGAAAGATTGAAAAGATGAATACAAATGAAAAGAAAGAAAGAGGACCAAAGAAGGAAAATTTAATTGAAGAATAGAATGGAGTATACAATGTGTGACTCTTTGTTTTTTTTTTGTCTGGGTACCACTTGACAGTTGACAGCTTTTTGGTTTCCTCTCTCCTTTGTTGTTCGCCCTATGCCCGTCAATTTTTATTGTATTTGTATGTTCCGTATTTGCATGTTAATTGTGAGAGAAATAAATGAAATGAAATGGATATTGCTTCTCATCCCATCATAAATTATTGTATTTGAAGGGTAATGCTAATCTATAAAATTGTTGTTTCTTAGCGGCATGATGGATGGTATGCTATCAACATTCTGAGCGTGCTGGTTGGAGTGGTTGAATTTGTGACAGCCATCGTTACATCGGCGTTCATGTGTTGTGGGACACGCTGTTGCTGTGGACAAACACCAAATGTAAGTGACTTCCTTGTGTAATGCCTCTCGTACTGTAGGTGACCAACTTTCTTAAGCAAGCACTTGCAAAAAGTCTGTTTTGTTTCTTATTAAATCACTACATTTGATACTCGTTGCCCACTTCCCCATAGACATAAATTTTTGTACCTACTGTGTAGTCTGGACCCTCCTGTCTCTGTGTAATTGTCCCCCACCCCCTCCCCTATTTTAATTTTTTTTTGCCTGCCACTGATTGTCATTGCAAGACAAACGTTATGTTCCGTACACAATTACCTTGAAAGATAATCCCGGTAAAAATGTTCTTTTTTTTTTAATGTATAATATTGGAAAAACAGGATATTGCAGGCTATTTTATACATCTTTTTTTTTTTCATTTCAAAAGACATTTATTAACTTCCAATTGCAATCATACAGAAAAATACAAAAAATCGGTTTATGAGGAAAAAATTCAAAAGGAAGAAGGCACAAGCCCGAGAAGATTTGAAAAAAAAATCTTGTGATGGGCAGGCCTGGACACAGACTCACAAGAACACACAGAGACCCAGACAAACAAACAAACACACGGCACAAACGCATACAAACAAGACAACAGAACAGGCAGTTTTAAGGAGCAGCAAGTCGAGTCGTGATCGTTAAGAAAAAACATTTAGTATTGAGAAACAAGGTGAATCCTCAG